CACAAGCATGTCTTTTGATGAATGGACAAATCTGAGACCATCAAGTTATTTTCACTTGGAAAGCAAAAGGCCACGGGCTTGAGGGACATGTGCTTGGGAAGAGCAAGAGCACATAGTGTTCCTGAGCAGGGACACTGGGCAGCCAGTAGTGACCGGGATTGCCCAAGAAACCTGAGTGGAAAGATGGCTCAGAAGGGGGTGCTGCTGGGTCCCAGGATGGAGTGAGGAGGCCCCCTCCTCTCTGTGCCCATTTCCCCTGTCTAGACGTGGTGGGTGAGAAAGCTGTTTGGGGACCGTCACACACCTCCACGAAAGGCAGACTGACTTGGTTATCCCATTAGTATCTGGAGAGTCCTTGAGGCATCCTTAAGTGAAAACTACAAATGCTCAAGTTCACTTGTGAACACAGTAGTTTGGAAAGTGAAAAGAATAGTCCATCAGGGCCCTTGGCACTTCCAGGGACCCCCCAAATCCTGTTTTATCACTCTTCTCTATTCTTTATTATTGGGGAAGCCTCCAAAGCAATGCTCAGCACACCCAGAGTCCACTCCTGGAGACAACTGGTCAGCCAGGCTGGACACTTCAATGCTAGAGCATGATAATGCAATGATGCAGTGGGGGCCCAGAAACGCTGGGTCTACCAGGACCACCTTCATGGTACTTAAGGGGCACCAAGGCTGTGCCAGCAGAGCTCGGAATCAACTCCCTTTTGAAAATAAAATGTTTGAGCTGACTTCCAGAATTAGCAAAAGATTCTCAATGTTCTACTTGAGAATGAACAAAAACGTCCTCACCTAAGGCAAGTATTCCCAAGCGTTGGGCCCCATGACAAACCCATCTCGCCCAGCTGGAAGCCCCATGTGTTGGTGTGTTTGTGGGGGCACTGCTGGATTCTTGTGCCCTGGGCCTGGGTAAATGATGCTGTGATGGCTCTAGCTAGAATCGACTGAGTCTTAAAAGGCCAGCTGAACAGTCTGCACTAGAAAGGATCCTGAAAGCAGGCAGAACCTTGGAGAGTGGATGAGGGCCCCTTTCCCCCACCCCAGCCTGCTCTCACCTTCTACTACTGGACAGACAGCTCCTAAAACAGAGTAGGAGTTGTCCAAGCCCCTGGATACAACTGCAGGCAGATTCTCGATCCCCTAAATCTGGCTGGGATCAGCCCACCCACCCAGCCTGCAGGAAGCCTGTGCCTCAGCTGGGAGACACTGTACATCTCAGCCTTGACCATCAATTCTCTCTTCACTTAAGAACCTGGAATAGGCATCTGTCCTTGACCTAGGTTCCGGCAGGTGTGCAGCCTTCAGACCTTATGCCAAGGGTATAAATATATTCACACTGGGTACAATTGGTGCTCACCCCTTCCCTTTTCGTTTCTGGGCATGCCCTAAGCCGAGTGATTCTCTGCGTGGCCACTGGCTATTAAGGGAGGTAGTTTGAGCCTCAGCTTCTGCAGCAGGCAGAGGGGGTAATTCTGGAATGATCTCTACGATGTCTGTTAGAGGAGTTGAACCCAGCAAAGACAACTCCCTTGAATCCACCTCTTCATTTCCTCCGTCATCTTGTTCCCTCCACCCTCCATTCCCTCCTGCTTCCTGGGATTAACCCCACCCCACAAAGCACTCTCACCCAAGTCATTTCATCAGGGACTGCTTTGACCTCCTCCCTCAGGGAAGCCCCGACTAGGTCAGCAAGGGGCACTCAGGAGATAGCAATGAGTCTTGCCTTGACAGGTAAAAGTTCAACTTAACGTGAGCCTAATCGTGGGCAGAGGCCACTCTGTATCCAGGAAGAATGTCCCCAGGCATGGGGCATTGCTCTGCCCTAGCTCTCCCCCTAGCACATACAAAACCTTGAGTGGAAAGAGAAAAGCGACCTGTCCATCATGAAAAAGAGCAATAATTTGGTAAATTAATTGCAAATTTGCTCTCCCTGCTTGGTTGCCTTTCTCCTTTTATGTGGATAATTGAGAGCATATTATATTAATTTGACAACAACTGAAGTTCAGAAAGAAAACTCAACCTTGGGAGCTGTGGGTTACCATTAGATGGGTGTGTCTGGACGACGCCACAAAGAGCATGAGAGACACACTCCTCACGCGGCCGGCCCAGGTCCAGGCACACAAATGGCTATTTTTGTTCATGGAATAGCTGTGCACAGTTCCTCCACTCCAACCTGAACATGCACACTGTTTGCTCCAGAGACACAAGTCACTCAAGCGGGGGCACCACTGCCCACGGGTCGGTACACATTCAGGAAAGTCATTTCCTCGATGGGAGGTTTCTTTAAGAGAAAAGTGGCTATCCAGGAGCCATCATCATCATCATCATCATCATCATCATCATCATCATCATCATCATCATCTCCCAAAGTCTAGGTAATTCCCCCTCCACCACCACCACCCACCAGAAAATGTAGCACTGTAACACTGTCCTCCTGTTGTTCATCTATTTGCTCGAGCAGTAATGTCTCCGTTGTGAGACTTGTTGTTACTGTTTTTGGCATATCAAATACGCCATGGGGAGATTGCCAGGCTCTGCTGTGCGGGCAGGATACTCTCGGTAGCTTGCTGGGCTCTCTGAGAGGGACAGAGGAATCAAACCTGGGTCAGCCACGTGCAAGGCAAACGCCCTACCCACTGTGCTATGGCAAAAGTCATCGAAGCTATTACACATCATGCCTCGATGGGTTCAAAGACACAGTCACACGGGAAGCCACAGTCCCCTCCTGCCACTCACACTAAGAGTCTGTCACACCCAGCCTGGACCCTTTCTCGGGAAGAGTCTAGGCTGGAAGGCCCAGGGTAGATAGATCCAATAGGTGAGGTGTATGGTTGCCCCAGGAGGGATCTTGTAATCCTAGGAGAGGGTGGTGGAAGGATGAGGGCAGCCAGAATCCTCAGCAGGGAGCTGGGGAATGAATGAAACCAACTTATTTCAGAGGCCTGACTGCATCAGCTTCCTGGCAGCCCCCGCCAGGATTCGCCCAAGCAGAAGGGAGGAAGGAGGAGGAGGAGGCTGGAACTCCAGAAGAGGAGAATAAGAATCCACAAAGGTATCCTAGAAGCCTGAGCGCCTGCTCTGGGGAGCGACTCAGGAAATACCCACTGTTTCAGAAGCGGAAACGAGAGCACCCCCTTTGCAGATTGGGCCCTGGTGAAGGAAGAGAAAAGACAAGCGAACTCCTGGGTCTGTGACTCTGGGGAACCTTCCCACTGTCATCTCCTGGAGCCGGGACGAGCTGCTCCCTGCAGCGACACTTCCTTCCCTGCTGCCAAAGCTCCCGAGACCCAGTCATTCACTCTCCCCTGGACCCCAGAGTCCTTCTCCTGCCACACTGGCAAGGCTGGTGCAGATCTGTCAGCCAGGGTTCTTGGAGAGTGCAGGGTGAGCAATGACGAGCAATCCGTGGCCAAGTGTCCCCCAGAGCAGGGCACACAAGCCCCAGCAATCTTCAGCCAAGCCCCAGCCTCCAGGCAGAGAGGCAGGGGTGCAGAGAGGGGGCCGTCCCCACAGAGAGAATGAACAGAAGGGAACCCCACCTGGGGGAACTGGAAACATTGTTTCTTAATGCGGAAATGGCTGTGAGCCTGGCTGGGAAGGTGCAGCGTGATGTGAAAGGATAGATACGATGACTGTGCAAGGGATACAGCAGGACTTGGGGGTGTTGGGAGGAAGGGACGCAGAAAAGGACAAAGTTCAATCTCTTCCCCTGATCTTGTGCACCCTGGAATAAGGCTGAACCCAATTAGTACCATCTAGGCTCAATCTGAACCCTGGTGCTGCGGGAGCTGGCTGCTCCCCCCGGGGGGCCACGAGCTCCGGGATCCAACACTTTAGCCCCTGGCAGCCACAGTGAGGTTCTCAGCCGCACATGAGCTGGCTGTATCAAAAGCAGTTGTAGGCAGAGAAAGCCAGCAACTTCTTCCTTCACACTCTGCATTTCTCATTCAGGGCCTCATCCCAAATTTCCAGACTTGGAATTCCAATCTCACCTCGCCCCTCCCTAAAGCACCCCCTCCCCCACCACACATCACCACCACCACACACACACACACACACACACACACACACACACACACACACACACGAGACTACCCGACTCAGCCCTGTGCCTTGGGGATTGGGATCGTGTGAACAGTTTTCATGAGAAATGCTGTATGTTGCAAGCAGCCTGGTCCTGTGTCCCGATGTGGAGCCAGGTAAACCAACTGGCACTGCTGGGCTTTCTGCCTCTTGTCTCTCACAGGCTACTCTGTGCAGGTGTGGAGGGTGGGCTGGGCACTGGGAGAAGGTCCTGCATTTCCCCCTCAAAACCGATTAGGTAAGTCACAAGAGTGTGCATGGAATACAGAAGCTGACAAGTCAGACCCAAGCTTAGAAACCCCGCGTAAAGGGCAGAACCCTAAAGTCCAGTTCATGGAGGCAGGGGGTGAGTGGGAGGGAAAGAGAACCAAACAAAATGACTAGGCAGCAAAAGCAAAAAAGCAAAACCCTCCCTTCCTGTATGACCCCCGACCCCCTTGCATGATCAAGCTAGTGGACAGGTTGCGGAAAAACTAGTACAGGTCCAACTCCAAACATTCAGCGGGCAAAAGTAGCTCAAAATGCCAAGAGTTCTGCATATCTGTCCATTGAAAACAAATCTTGTCAGGATGGAGGGAAAATGTTAGGGCTTGCTGAGAAAAACTGGAGTGTGCACCCCAACCCTCCCCCGTGGGCTACTCTGTACCCCAATTCTCCATGCCTAAGGGATGAGAACTGTGGGTTCTAGGCACTTGTGTCTCTCCCCACCCACCCGGTCGCCACCCCCAACAAGGAAGGTCTCTTCCCTTTGCATGTTTGTGAAGGTTCCTTGCAGGGCCTCCAGAGAGAGGGCCAGGGGCAGCAGACTGTCCCTGGAGGTACTCTAGAAGCTTCCAGCAGATAGAAGGATGTCATGGGGTGAGGGATGTTGTGGATTGAATTAACATAATGACTCCAAACTGCACTAATGTTTCACAGCTTTTTTTTTATTAGCAATACCAAGATAAGTTATTGAAGCATTTTTTAGTATTGTTTTACATTCCATTCATAAATGACCTAACTTGTAACTCAGCATACAGCACACTTAAAGATATAGTTTGACACGTATTCAGAAAGCTACAATTATTATAACTTACATGCCTTCATTACCAGGAACACCTTAATATATCGTCTAATTACTTCAACAATACTCTATTCCAAAGCACACGAAACCCAGTACAAGTTTACACATTTGCTTCAATCACCGTTTCAAAGTTGTGGGTGTCAAGGTGCTGCTCACTGGGATCTTACTGTCATCTGTTCCTGGTTAATATGACAACCTGACACAATATTCAACTAGCAATAGTACTGCTTAAATACTATGGAGAAAGAATTACTGCACTTTTCTGTGTTCTTCTAAAGTGTTACAAAATACAGGACAATCAGACACAAGCAGTAATGCCAAGGAGACCAGCGCAGGGCCCACCTCTAGAAGCTGTGGTGAGCTGGTGTAGCAGGCCCCATCAGCGTCTCACAGAGAAGGGACCTCCAATCCACCAGCATCTGTCACTCAGGATTCATGACTTGGAGGGAATTTTCTCTCCCGTTCAAGTTACTAAACCCTTGCAATCCATGACTAATGGTGGAACATATGGGGCAATATTTTTAGCCTTCCTGATTCTTTGCTATATATACTGTAGGTTGGTGTGCCGTGTGTATACACATACCTATGCCAATAGTAATTATTTATTCAACACACATATGTGTATACATTCTTCTCTTGACTTTACACGATTAACAAGCTGCAGATAGCCACCGAGGAGCACGAACAGACAAGGGCAAGTCCAGCTAGACCGACTAGAACAGGGGGTGTCACTTACCTGCAAGAAAACGTGCAGATTCATTAAACAATCCAGAAATCATTTAGGCTAGAGGCATTTGAAAGCAAGGGCAGGGCCACATTCCCTAATTATTTAATGAAACTGTGACAATAAAGCAATATTTATAAAATTTGGTCCCTCTGTCTCTGGCTAAAGCAAGAATAGGCTCCATGATTAGAGCAGGTTGGCAATTAGACATAGAGGTGCAGTTGATCAGCGCTAAGTAATAGGAGATAATTACTACTTATTTGAAACCTGGGCTTTTCAGACAACATCTGAAAATTAAGAAAGAACCTGATTCCTTCCACGGCTAAGATGTGGCCTGTCTCTAGACAGCTGTCGTTTCTAACCATCACTTTGGCTCAGCAGCCCAAGAAGGTAGATGCTGAAACTATAGCACAGGGTCCCTGAAACTTATTGCACCGGGCCCCTGCACAAGGCTCATGTCAGTCATGTGGGTTGCACCTTCTGTTTCTTCCAGCATAGTTGGGCCGTGAAGCATCCGTATTTATCCATGGATGTCGATGTGTGCTCTGACATCACTATCCCTTCTCCATCTTTTTATGCTCCCTCCCAATCCTATTACTGAGGGAAGGTGTATGTATGTGTGTGTGTGTATGTGTGTGTGTGTACATGTGTGTGTGCGTGTGTGTGTGTGTGTTTAAGTAACCAATGGGTGCTTGCTCTCCCTTCTGCACCCGAAGCTTAGTTCTGGGCAGAAGGCAGCATGCAATCCAGAGAGAATATGAATATGGCAACCAAAATGAAAGCTACCACCAGACTTTTCTCCAGCTTCGGAGGCACTGTTGATTCAGACAGTAGCTTTTGGTGCCAAAAATATGCAGCAAAAGGAAAGGAACATAAACAAGGCTAAATGTCACCAGTGTTTGCCGACTTACAGACACCATCCATTTGTTTGTTCTGAAATGACGAGTGGACCATTTGGCAAATACAATGGTATTCACACAACAGTTCTGTCATCCTGCAGTGCAAACGACATCACGTCAGTGGCATTCCCATTTCATTTAAAGGGGGAAGGGAAAGAGAAGAATGCCAGAGGAGTTGAGAAGGGGCTCCCGTCCAAAGACACTGCCTCTTTGTCAGCACAGATCACACCTGACTTTGGATGAGGACAGCAGGAGCCTGCCAGGGGTGCCGAATTTTGCTGGGCAGAGGGGTAGCGCCAATGCTTTGTCCAACCAGAGTCCCAGGGAAAGGCTCTGCAGCTGGTTGTGAGGTGGCCAGGAGGGAAGAGCAGCACACAAGGGTTGTGATTTATGTCATTCAATTATTACTTAAGTTTAAGTGTCAATTTTACTTAAAGGTTTGTCCTGGGATTCAGAACAAGCCAAATGGTCCTCCCGACATGGGATACTCTCACCAGAAGCAGCGGTGACAGAAGCAAAAACTAATCTGTGAAGGACAAAACAGGCAAAGGAAGCAAGAGCAAAGTTGTGCTTTATAAGTTGTGTCTGCAAGCTCATGCTCGTGAGGATCAGTTCACAGAGAAGAGGAGAAGAGGGGGTGCTTACTCTGGGCTTTAATAAAGCCTGGAAGCTCCAGCGACAAGGCCCTGCTCTAGAGCTCCCCTGAGTATCCCTGTCTCGTTGCCCGCCCTCACCTCGGCTGGCTGAACCTGGGATCCCATGCATTGGGCAAATTTGTATTTTGTGGTTCCTGATTGAACCTCCCTTGTCATAATGTAACCTCTTATCTTTATACAAATTAGATAACCCAGAAGCCCTCCCAGTGTTAATCATCCCCTACCCACCATAGGTCATACACCCAGGCAGCTGAGGCCTGGTCTAAGCATCACTTAAATCCTGTGTCCTGGCTGGCCCTCTGGAACTCTCTGGCCACAGACTGAAGCAATGGTCTAAGACCAAGGAGGCAGAATTTATTTCCTACTCCAAAGCACTTTCCTTCAGTCAGGAATGGAACTAAGTAGGAACTGAGTCACTGGGCTGACCATCCTCATGGGAAGTCCTCACGAAGAGCCCAAACCACCATCCAAACTCAAGCTCTCACTGACCAAGGCCAAGGGACAATCACCATCATGAGAGGAAGAAATACGGGTCTCTAACTTGGATGCAAAGGAAGTTCTGTCCTTGCTGGTTGCTAATGAAACCCCTGCCATCTAAAGACATCTGGGTATTGCTGGGTATCCTGGCAGCACAGTCACATGACTTCGCCTTGGGATCACAGACACTCAGCTGAACCATTTACCCACTGTCTCGTGGCCCTCATACTGCCCATCAATGATGAAACTCAGCTCAGGGTCCCTAGAGAGGGCTGTATCTCTTACTCTGATAAGCAATGGGACGGCCTTGCAGAAATGGTGCCCAGGCCATGAGCTCACTACTGTTCCTGCGAGTCAAGTTCTACATGAACAAGGCTATACCTGTTTGCCACTAATTGCAAAAGGTTGCTTTAGGGAGACCTGGCTGAATAAGTGTCGGTACAGGTAGAATGATCTCCAAGATGAGCAATTAACTATCAGGCCCTTGAAGAAAATCCTTGGCAGCCATGGCCTGGGATAGTGCTCTTGGGGAAACATTTTCAGACCTCCTATACTGAGAAACCAGCCAGGTTAGTGAGAACAGAAGTCACATTTTAAGAGTCTGCCTCGTTTCACCATACATCCTAGAACATGTGAGGTGAAGTGCTTCAATGAACCCCTTTTTTTAAAAAAAGAGATCCCCAATTCTCTCACTGTTGTGGAAGCCCAGAACCCTCAGTCTCAGGCATCGTGTGGGTCAGGAAAGGCAGTTTCCCAGTCAGTTGGGGGTGACACGTGGGGACTGCTGGGGCTTTTGCTATAAAAGACCCTGCTTCTCACTTGCCTCCTCCAAGGCCAGTGGATTCTCGGGGAGCCTGTGGTGATGGATGTACTGAGAGGCTCTCCATGATTGGCTAGCTCCTAAGAGATGGAAACTGCTCTTGTGTGTGTGTGTGTGTGTGTGTGTGTGTGTGTGTGTGTGTGTGTGTGGAGAGGGGGGGAACATGTTCCCCTCACTGCTCTTCCCTTTCTCTACTCTCATTCTTACCCCACCCATCCTATACATGGGCCCACCCAAGGTCCCCCTGAAAGTTTCTTATAAGAATCAGCACAGAGTGGCCCTGCCAGCTGCCTCCACAGGGATGAGGGTGGTATGGTTGCTCTCAAAATCCACCAATTTGGGGGTGCACCAGCTTTGGGTTCACATGGTCACACTGAAACCCAGACTTTGCTGGTCTCAGGTCTTAAGTAAGATTGATCCTATGGTTTTCCCAAGCTTCTGTGCCTCAGAAACACGGCCTCATCCTCCCTTGCCTTCTCATGAAATAGTCATGATGGGCTGTGTCCTATTATGAGGACAAACCCCTTCCTACCAAACTCCAAGCACATCCAGTTCCCTAGTGGCAGGGGGTTCCAGGGTCTGCAAGAAAATGGAGTGGTCTGGCCAGGTCTGAACTCTGGAAGTCACCTCAAGAAATGGAAGTTCTGAATGGAGGTGGTTTCATAATGACTTCCAGCCCAGGATGCAATCTGATCCAGCCCAAAGCAGGAAGGTCTGTCCTCCAGCTTAAGCCACGAGAGAGCTAGATCCTCCTCAGGACCATCTGGAATGTGTTCCCAACTGGCTTCCTAGGGGAGACCTTGTGAACCTCAAGTTCCACATAGACATCTACCCTCCTCCATCTCTCCTACCCTCTGCCCTGTGGTTAGAATTGTACTGACTGTGAAAGGGCACAATGGTCAGGGATGACCCAGGAAACCTATGAGCCCATTTTCCGAGGCAGGAAAGCAGCGGGCAGTGTCAGGAAGCAGCTAGAAGCAGCTAGAAGCAGTGTGTGCTGCTTCCGAGTCACTCACAGACCTGGGGGCAGAAGCTACCATCTCCAACTCATATGTCAAGAACTGCTGAGCTTGTGGGGAGCCACAGAATTTGAACAGGTTTTTACAGACGCGTCTTCAAACACTTTTACCTCCATGAGAATAGAAGCAGATGGACATTAGTTCCTCCAATAAGCCTGTTTCTAGGAGCATTGAAGTAGGGATTTGGTTTTATGAACCAGACAAAATCAGACCCCATACTCTGCTGAGATGATAAATATTGGAATAATTCTTTGGGTTGGCAAAGTCTAACTTCTTGAAGAAACTAAATATCAAGCTGGTGGACCAGCTTGGAAGTACCTATTTGGGGGCAGGCAAGATGGGTTAAACTTGAAAAATATTTGAGTTCTGTGAAGCCAATGGGAGCTCAAAATGTTTAGCCATCATCTGTGTTGCTTGCAGAGCTAGGAGGTATCTATTAGACCCTTGGAGAAAAATGTCCATTGTGTAACCCAAAGGATTTAAGTTTTCATCCCTGATACCCATTTCTAGAAAGAGCATCTTGAATACTGGGACATAGCAACCAGTAAGATAATTAAAAGAGGATTTCAATTATGGTGGGTCAAATATGAAGGTGTAAGAACTGGCCAGGGGTGTCTGAGAGGAAAGCCCCTCAGAAGCAGGAGAACAGTGCCTCCTCCTTCTAAACCCAAGCAAACTCTTCCTTCTCAGATTCCAACCTAAAGTGAAAGAAGGCAGAAGGGAGGTCTCCTGAAATGTGCACCTTGTGTTCTCTGAAAACAGCACCTTAAGGCTGGAAATTGTCTTTGCATCTTATGATGAGTTCATAGTGGTACTTAGTGGGATCTGGAACCCCAATCGGGGAAACCATCAGGATTCAACTTGTGGCCCGGTCAGCTCTGTGGCCTCATTGCCCAGAAGGAAAGGGGCAACAACGTACACCCCAATGCAAGATAGACTGACTATCATCTCCACTGGAAATGTCAGGGAATGTTGTACTTCACTTTGAGGGGAGAGGGAGGGAAATGCCTCAGAGCAGAGAGCTGGGAGGGAAAGGGTTCACGGGACAGAACAGGCTTCCTGCTGCTCCCTCCCTGCCACCCTGCAGGAAAGGAAACCACTGGGCAAGCTTCCTCCAAGGCAGGCAGTTTTCCCTCAGCATTGAGAGGAAGATGGGAAAATTAATAGGGGTAATATGAGCTTATTTCAATAATAATGAGTTTATGAACATGCCAGGTTTTGATCTTTTCTGATGCATGGATTCCTGGCAGGAACTATAGTCCTATGTAGGTAGTTGAAAGAACTTAAAATAGACTTAAAAAAAATACCCAAACAAACAACAGTAAGAAAGAACCCACCCCAATCACAAACTTAAAACAGCAATAAAAGAAAAAGACTTAAACATCTCTCCCCCAGAAGAAAAGGCAAAAATTGGACTGACATAAAACCCTTTTCTCCTTCATTTAAATATTGTTTTTAACAGCTTCAAAAAGTAATGAATTGTGGATAGCTAAAAATAGATGTGGGGGGTTCTGGTTAATGGGGCCTTGTGAATCATTCAGCATAGGAACTGTCAATATTTTTTTGAGCTGTCAGAAATCCATTTAGTGATTTTTGACAATTCAAAAAATATTTCTGACTGCTTGATCCAGTTCTTAGTGAATTAGGAAAGGAGAGGGGAAAAAGAAATATATCAATTTAAATTATGAAACAAGTCCAGCTTCCTGAATCCTGCTCTGTGCTGAAAGGCAAGGCAGGATTCTGAGGCTGCAAATTTCTCTTTCATCCTCCTTCCTCCCTTCCACTTTCAACAGGTGACAGAGGAGATGTAGTCTCAGGTAAAAGAGTGGCACGGGCATCTGTCCCCAGCGAGGGTGGCTGGGGCAGGGAATAACATGCCTACCCCAGCAGGCTTCTCTTCAGAGACAGGCTCCCCAAGAATATCTGGGTACCAAGGGAATGACTTGATCCTTCCTGCCCACCCCATCTGATTCAATTCTAGGCTGAAAATTTATCATTACTTTTTATGACCTGGAATTCTTTGGGGGCAACCATATTCTTTAAGGAGGCAAAGAAGTGCTAATTTGCTAACAAGATCAGGCAGGCATAAATCCAAGACGCACAGGGTCACAACACTGCTAATCAGGGACTTCACAATGTACATTTCTTGTTAGAACAATAGACAGACAGGTTAAGAGACAGACGGACAGAAGGCAACAGTAGAAGGCCAAAGTCACAGTAACTGCCATTTGGTATGTCTAACGGTGAATCACAAACACCCACAAACCATCTCCCTATTTGGAGAGAAGGCTGATTTATTTCTACACTGTGGTTAGTGTGATATGATTTTAGTATCCTCTAAGTCGAGATAAAGAAAAGCTTAAGAAGTAGATTTGGCTGATCAAAGCAATGAGGCATTGTCTTTAGGCATCTTATGCATAAGTTGGAAATACTGAAAAGTTTGCAAGTTACCATTTCTCTTTTAGTATTTGTTTTGGTTTTGGTTTTTAAAACTTTCCCCACCCCACCCCCTTCAAATTATGGATTTAAAACAGGAGCAGTTCGCACTGCAAGACAACACCCCCTTTTGCATGCCTTCCAGACAGGCATTTCAGATCGTTCTGATGCAAATTGGAACACAAAAGTATGAGTTCTAAAACGTCTTGATGATATTGACTTTCATGATTGTCTACAATGCATATACAGCATTGTTGTTGTTGGTTTTTTTTTTTTTGTCATGTTTTGAGTTTGAAATTTGATGATGGATAAGTCTACCCCATTTTGTAAAATGCACAATTCAGCACTGATGTTTTGGGAAATGAACTAAAGGAAGAGGATTCTAAAACTTACCACACAAGTCTGGCCTCTTGATACATCCAGAATTGGCTGCGCTACTTGCAAGTCCGTTAAAGGCTGCTAAGCCATCAGCGCTATAGGCCCTGAGGACCGACAGCATGTTCATTGGCTTCTCCAGTCCCGGGGGCCCCCGCTCTGGTTTGGGTAGCCCCACCGAGGGGTCCTGTGACACAAGAAGGCCCGGCCCATGCCACTGCTTCTCCGATGCCTGGGGTAAAGGTGAGACCAGTCCCTGGACGGGCTGAGGGGTGGCCGTGGGCAGCAGGCTGTCCCCACCATCACTGCTGCTGTCCTTGCTGAGGGACGACGGTGGCTTGGTCACCATCTCTGGCTCCGTCTCGATATCCTCTTCGTCGTTGTTTTCTCCCTTGGAGGAAGAGTCCATGTCCTCGGAGGAGGCGATGTCAGAGAGGTCGTCAGTAGTGTTCTTGTTTGTGGTTTCGGGGATCAGAATCGGGGTGTCATCTTCCGAGTGGGCCTTCCCATCCGGCTCCTTGTTGGGGCAGGAGCTAGAGGCCCCTGAGCCAACCATGCCTGGGTAAACGCCAAACTGCTTGTAGAAATCTGATGGGAAGTTACAAAAGGCAGGGTCCACGTGGCCGGGCCACGGGCCACTCCTCTGCTCCCCCAGAGTCTCTTTGACCTGCCCTTGGGCCATCTTCTCGGGCGCTGCGTCCAGGGGACCCATCATGTTGGAGAGCCCCATCTCTTTGTTCGATTGTGCAGATGACAGCAGAGCCAGTTTGCTGGCCTCGCGGGCCTGGTCTTTGCAATTGACAGCCGCTCCGATGGCGTTTTCTTTGCGTTTCGCTTTGCCCAGGTGATTGGCCTGCAGATGCAGGGCCATCAGCTCCATGGAGGACGTGGTGAAAGCACAAAACAAGCAGCCGTGCCACGCGATGCTGTCCTGCACCGTCACGGATGAGCCTGGCAGAGAGGCGGCATCTGGCCGCACCGACAGGTCCAGTGGCTCATACTGAGACTTCTCTGACTTCCTGGGGGCCGGCTTGGTGCCCGCTTTCTCCTCCCCACCGTCTGCCCCGTGCACTTTGGTGGAAGGAGGATCGGCCAGGGCCTTGTCCTTCATGTCCTTCTCCTTCTTCAGGGAGCTGAGGACAAAGCTGTCCATGAAAGCTTGCAAGGACCCCTGAAAATTCACGCCATTGCTCACGATGCTCTGATAAGCGCGTCCGATTTCAGAGAAGTGGCTGCTTTTGGAAGGAAGGTCAGTGCCCTTGAGAGCATCAGCGGGGGTCTCTGAAGACAGGCCAGCGGCTTGGCCTGTGTGATCTCCTGACGAGAGCCCTGATGTCCACTGCTGGGATGCAGGGCCCCCTCTGAAGTCGATCCCGGGGAGACCCTTGAAAGCCCCCCTCAGGATGTCGGGCCTGATAAACAAAGCAGCTTTGCTGGCCATCTCGTCCCGGTGGTCTGCGGTGGGGGGCTGCCCGGACAGTGGCCCTGCTCCATTCTGCCGCTCCCGGTGGTGCCGCTCGAGGTGGTACTTGAGAGAGGCTGACTGGGTGCCCGCGTAGTCACAGTGGGGACATTTGTAGGGCTTCTCACCTGCGGGATTCAGGCAGTGGGAGAAAAAAAAATAAAGTTTTCTCATTTGGGGGCTGAACAAGGCTAGAAGGATCAACATTTGTTCTTGGAAACAAAGCAGCTCAAACTAATAATTAGTTAGAGAACAACTGTTTTTTAATAGAAGAATAATTCGTACTCTTACGCTTTTTTAATGATTTTGTACCATTTGGGACTATTCAGGAATGACATACTATCTACACACAATTAGCTATCTTTTTCTTTATCTAACATGTGAAAACGGCTGTAGATTTAAAAGCTATGATTATGAAAATTAAGCATAATAATTTCAACCACAGTGATCATTAAAAGTAGAAGTTTAAAAAGACAAAGTATGTAACAAATGGGTGGTTGCAATATTTTGTGTATACAATAGCTCTAAAATTTGTTTAAATTATACACATGGAAACCATTTTTAAACCTAAAAATTTTATGGCACTGTTACGCAAGACTGAAATGAATGATTTAAGTCTTGCTCTGCAGTAAATCATGGATATAATTAGCAAATGGCATACTGCACAAGTAATTTATCATTATTTGGAGGGCACCATTCCAGACGGCTCAGATATCTGCAGACCTACTGCATTGTTTCTAAATAAAGAACTATAAATACCGATTCTATAAAATATTAATACCATTACAGTGCATTATGATTGCAGCATGTAAAGACATATAGTTAAGATAAAAAGCAGTCAATAAAACTTAAAAGAAAATGAGTAATAAAAAGGCACAAAATATATTTAGTTTCTGTATTTGAAATTAACATTATCTACTGGTCTTTGTAGTGCCTTAAATTTGTACTAATGGCAAACCTAATGCTCCGGTAGTAAAATGTGTAATTTACCTATAATAAGAGCTTTCTAGAGAATAAAAATAGCTTTAAAGAGTGTTTTAAAACATATAAGATCATTTTCATGAATTAAATATTTATTTAAATTCAACACCCAACTTCCATTGTTCTTCCCACCACAGAAAAGATACTGTAACATACAACAGAACAGAGACCTGCTCACAGGGTGAGAGAGAGGAAGCAAGGAGAAGAAACAAATGGATTCAAATATTTTCCAAGGCTTTTCTAGTAACTCGGAGTCTCTTCTAGACTTTGGAATGGACCAGCTCTCTTCCGGAAGCAACCGAACTGTAACAGTCCCCTTCACAATACACACGATTCTTACTCAGGGAAAACTCAAGAATCCCCCACCCCTTCCTCTCTTCTACTGTATAGAACAGACTGATCTAAAAAAACAAGAGCACATCCCCTAGGGAGTGATACATTCCATGGCATATTAGCATGTCGGGTCTCCTGGAGTCCCAGCCCCCAGGCACTAGGCTTTGCGCATAAGAGCCAGAGCCAGAGGCCTGGACTCTGAGCACAACAGAACCACCAGCCCAGACTGTGTCCTTGGAGAAACTGTGCCTGCCTCTTCAAGATGGTGGCGAGTGCTCCTTGCTCAGACTTCGAGGCAGCTGGGGGAATCTCCTTCGAGTCTGGACAGAGTGCACGCTGGAAAGCCACTGCTCTAAATGTGAAGGCTGTGTGGTCCCTGGTTTGATCAAAGCAATGGTTCGAGACAAGACTATCCTCTGGGAGGGAAAGAGTCATTGATGCCGGCCGGCACCAATCCCTGTTTCTTGGAGCTGATATTGTTGTTCAGGTCTCCCATCCACCACTGCTGTTTGTCCATCTCAGCAGTACCAGTGGCTCTGGAACCCATGTGGCATTACGGATAAGGCACTCTAGGGCTGGCCTGCAGGCCTGGTGCCAGCAGAGCAGCGGCAGCAGCAGGCCCTGGAAGCTGAGGGGCAGTGGGGATGCTCGTAGCAGGAAAGCCACCAGGGCACCCAGAATCCCAACCCCTGGGCAAGCGTCATGATTCTGGGGGAGAGCCCCGAGTGTGAGGGTGGGTGGAGTTGTGGTCTTGCAGGTACTGGGTGAGACTCAAGTTGTATTTCAGAAATGCACCTGGAAATGATTAAGCGCATTTGGCAAAGGGCTTGCAGAACGCATGGGCATTCATTAGCGGGAGCCACAGAAGGAGAATGTGGACTCCTGCCTGCAGGCTGAGGAGTGGGGGTAGGGGAGCTGCCTTTCTCGGTGAGATGGGCAGTGATGCACAGAGGAGGTTTCTTTCCAAGGGACACACACTTGCTAGGCACACTGAAACTGCTTCCCTTAATCTGTGCATTACGATCTGCTGAGTTTATGGCATCAGTGCACAAAGGTTCTGCCCCGGGTCTAGAGTCAAGCTCAGGTGTATAATACACATGCATTCTTGGTGATTCTGTTTTAAAAAAAATGTTAACATCACACTTTGACTCAAAAACTCAGTGCCTGGTGGAGGGATGAGTATTTGATCATTGTATAATTGAAACCCAGGCACAAAAATTTGTAAGTCCACAACTGTACTTCACTAATAAAAATTAAAAAAAAAAAAAACTCAGTGCCCACTCCCCCAAAAAAGTGGGAGAGGGAAGTTGGAGATTATACTTTGGAAAAAATTAACTATAGCTTCCTGGGGAGCCTTAAAAAATTGGATCCTTGCTCCAACCCCACTAATTCTAGTTTAATTGCACCCTGGGACAGACTGGGCTTTGAAACCCCCAAAGATGAGAGAACCAATGATCAAGAGAACCAATGCAATATGGAGAAAAATTGTGTAGAGGCTCTGTGGAAGTAACCCTTTGGGGAGATACCAAGGAAGCTTACAGCACAAGCCACCTGGACCGTTGGACCTAGGGGCTGTTTGGAGAGTCAACCAGACTCAGAGGCCCCAAGCACAATGTTCACCTGACACAGGATTCCCTCTCAAGGCCTTTGCTTCCTTGGTCCGGAATGTGGGAAGTTGGAGCACACGTATTCTATGGTCTCATCCCCACTCTACAGTGGGTGTCAAGAACATACCCAAGTCTCCAAAACGAGTCAGACATGTGTCCATACAGTCCACGCTGCACACCCAGAATCTCACTCGCACTATTTCTCACTGAACAGACCAACGGGTAAATGAACAATACCTTCTACCTGGGAATTGGAGAACCAAAGAAGACAACGCCCTTTCTTCAGAAGAGACATTCAAGTAAGAGGCACTCACACCATACACACACCACACTTAGACACCTATCTATCACACGCACCATGCACATAGCATCTACACACTTACCTCTCATATCACACACACTCATATACTTTGCTCATCACTCTCACACCACATATACCTTACTCATCACCCTCCCATAACACACAACGCAAACATCACCCTCACAGATACATATCCCTCATACTATACAACACACACACTGCCCTCACACAAGCAAGCCCCTCATCCTGTACACACATACACATCCCTCACACATGCATACCTCTCACATTACACACACACTCACACATACCACACATCACCCTACACATGCACACCCCTCATACCACACTCCCATTACACATATAACCCTCATCTGTACACATACACACACACACGCACGTGCACACACACACACACACACACACACACACACACACACACACACCCCACATATCCCTTGCTGGAGATAATCTTTTCATTTATTCCATTGTTCTTTTATAGTCCAAAATAGGCTCTGGCCTCCACTGCTCTGCTCAGGTGGGGGCAAGGCCAAAGCTGAGAATCAAGAAAGGTTGTTCTTAGCATTTATGTGCCCAAGGATTCAGGCTCTGGTGAACAGGACTGCCTGGTGCATTTTCAAAGGCCATTCTGGCTTCACATGACATCAGCTCTGGCCTTTTGTCCATGCTGCACATAGAGACTAGAGACCCTCCATCATCCATCCTTTCTGTGCTTCCTTCCATCCCCCTGCCTTCTTCTTGAAAGGCCTGGCTTAAATATTTTCTTCCTGTCACCTAAATTTCTGAATAAATGCTCCAGGGTAAGTTTAATGGATAAACCCCAAACCTTTAGATTTGTGTTTACAAAACAAAAAGGGAAAAAAGGTTTAATTTATAATTATAATTCCTAAATATTTGGGGTTTTTTTGTTTTGTTTTGGTTTTGGTGTCCAGGGGTTACTTCTGCCTCTGCACTCAGGAACTACTCCTGATAGGCTTGGGAAGCCCTAGAGGGTGTCAGGGATCAAACCCAGGTCCTTCACATGCAAGGCTACTGCCCTACCCATTGTGCTAGCTCTCTGGCCCATGCCCTAAATATTCGGAATAACCACAGTTACCCTATGCCTTGAAGCCTTTCCTGTTGGTTCCACTCCTAAGGGGTAAGGGAAACAGCCTAGAACTACACTACACTGGAACTAACTGGAACTACCCCAGTACATTATTAGCCAGTCAAGCCAACCCAGGGATGTTAGGATGATTGTCACCTGAGGTTACTGAACTCCCTGGAGAAGTTCCTGAGGTTTCCTTTCCCACAGGAAACAGCGGTTTCCCAAGCATCCCCCACCAAAGACACATTTCAGAGTGCTCAGGAGGCAAACTTCTCACACCATTGGCCAAGGGCAGCTGGGACAAACCTATCAATACATCCTGCAGACTCTAAGGGGATGGTGAGTCTGGCCAGCAGACAAATGCTAAGTTCACTGTCCTGAGTGTGGTTCCCGAACTGCATCATGGAAGCTGGTGATGGTTTTGAGCCCAAAAGTGCTGGCCTGACCCCTTCAAAGCCACAGCTCCTACCAAAGAACAAGCCAATGGGGCTCAGTCCTCTATCCTGCCTGACTCAGCCTAAGATTTGGTTGTATGACTCATAACCAGGCAACTCTGCTGCCGGGCAGCAGCACAAGCTGAGTGACTGGCCACTGAGATCATAAACTAGTACAAATCTACTGGGAAGTTTCACTCCAAGTGCTCCATGCTTCCCAGAAGTCCGAATCCTCGGGCACCTCCATGATGTTAGGGGTTCACTGGCTTTGTGTCTGCCCATGTAGGAGCCTAACACTCAGATGCCTCAGAGCCAGGAAGATCACAGGAAGATTTCCTGTGAGGAAGAGCAGGGTAGAGGCAAGTACCTTGCCTCAGTCAGAACCAACCAGCTGTGGGAAGGATGCTTTTCTATATGAAAAGCCCCACATACTTAGACTTCCACATTCTCTCCCTGGCACTTGGCTTTGGTACTGACTTCAGAAACACCTCAGAGGGGGCTGGAGAAATAGTACAGTGGGTAGGGCGTGCATGTGGCCAACCCAGGTTCAATCCCCAGCATCCCATATGGTTCCCTGAGCACCGCCAGGAGTAATTCCTGAAGGCAGAGTCAAGAGTATGCCCTGTGAGTTGCCAGGTATGGCCCCAAAAAAGCAGGAGCATCGCAGAGACTAAGACCCCCAGTACCGACTGTAGACAGGGTCTCAGTGGAAAAGGATGCCAGTACTGAGTCCTTCCCCAACCAAAGAGAGAGTGTCAGACACAAGTGGCCTGGGTGGGAAAACTACTCACAGTATTTTAAAACAATAAGACCTGGGTCAAACATTTCTAGAAAAGAGAGTTTTGCTGGAAAAGCACACACACACACACACACACACACACACACACACACACTTGCAGTTTATTTCCAATTGGCTAATAAAATGTTTGGAACCATGTTACCAGCCACCCATTAGAATAAGGTTCATATTCAAGTTCAAAATACCACTGATAACTTTTCCACACCATTGAGGCATACATTTTTAGAAGTTTGTGACTAAGTGGTTCAATTCATTATTGTAACTATTTGCATATTCCTGACTTCTCTTATTTGGAGTCTCCATGTGGCATATGAGATGCCAAATGCAGCCTCATGCATGGTACTGAGATTTTGGAGCTAATCAGAGCAAACTCCTAAGAGCACCTCTTCAAAACCAACAGGTGGATGTGTGCTGGCCCCTTCCGAAACCCCTTAATCAACCTTTTTGTCTTGTCTTGTTTGGGAGCCACACCTGGCTATGTTCATGGCTTACTACTGGCTCTGCACTCAGGGATCACCAGGCTCAGGGGGATCACAGGCGTTGACCAATGCCACTGCTGTACCCGCTGTACTACTGCTCTGGCCCTTTTTGTCAAACATATAAGAAACACTTCATGCTTCCAATAAGCTTTTTGCCTTTTCTTTTCCTTTTTTCCCCACTAAACTTCAAAAGTGTTTTCACTTTTAAGGTAACTGATTCGCCCCCCTGTATTGGAATCCTCCGTTTGATATTTATATAGTCTTTCTACATGTCTTTACTTAGTTAATACCAGGAGAGATAAATATGGTGGTGCCTTTGCAGCGAAGCTTCAGTACATTAATATAAATTGTGCACTAATTCCCCCAAAGCATATATATGTTGTAAACCTGAAGACTTTTCACACAGCTGCTTATTGCTAAACAGTGCCTTGTCCAGAAGGGGACAATCTGTGTCTCTAATTGCTGTCACTGAAGCCGAGATTCATTATGTGACTTTCCCATTAAAATGTGAGCATTAATTTGTATAATGAAATATCGCCCACTGCAGTGTTCATTAGCCATGCCCTACTGTATACGGCACATTGTTAGCTACCTAGAAACTGTAGTTAATTTCACTAATGGATATTTCCCTACTTAGTGTTTGGTAGGAAATTTATACTGTAACATTACCTCTTAAACTTTTAAGGAAATTTAAATTCAATCAATTATTTTCAACAAAAGTTTGGGATGTCATTACGGCAGAAAGAACAGGGAGGGGGGAGTACAGAGAAATCAAAGGGGTGTTTCAGTTCATCTTAGAAATAGAGAAACGACAGGATTTTTCATTCAAAACAAAAAGGAAAAAGAAATCACCTTCTTTTGGGCAAGAGGCAAGAGGATCTATACCCCTGCCCCCCATCACTACTCAGGTGTCTGTCTCCAACTGAGGAGGCAAAACACAGTGTCTGTTTAAAATGACAATGGGAGGTCAGGATGATGGCTAGGAGGTGCACATGCTTTGCATGCCAGAGGCCTGGGTTCTGTCCCTGGCATCACATGATCCTCCCCAGGATGCCAGGAGCAACCCCCCTCCCATACACCCCCTACCCAGCAGGTGTTGGGCATTTCCCCTGCGCACAGCTAGGTGTAGCCAAAAACAAGAACAAAAATAAGGGAAAGCACCCTTTAATCGATGCAGTTTTGCAAATGCATGCCATGTGCTTTCCTAAAGCTCCTGGCTCACTCTCCGAGAAGGGAGACTAGAGACGTGTGGAAGGAAGGGGACACGCACAGCGGTCTCCAGGTACCATTGGTGCTAGGGGGCTGCTGTGAAATGGAAAAGCCACTTGCAAAAAGGAACACCTGGCCTCAGGTGTCTCCTGGGGAGGCCCAGCTAGTGATTCCATGGCACCTTTCATGCTAATGGGCAGGACACAGTGGCTGATATCCTGCTTCACCACCACCCTAAGCTCCTATGCTGCTGGGGAGACTGAGGCACATGGGGATGGATGGAGGAGGCCCTGGCCTCAGGTTGGGCTGAGTCAGGGGGAAAGGAGGAGCCAGGCGCACAGTACTTCCCTTGGAAATCGCCGGGAGGTTGCATCAACACACCTTGTGGGTACAAGTCACTTCCTTTCCTCCTGCTGGTTAGGGTGTGGACACACACTGTCAAAGAAATGGTGCATTAATTGCCTAAACCAAGCCAGAAATTCACCCCCAAATTGCAAGACAACCCAGGGGTTAGGAGAACAGGAATCCAAGGGAGGCAGCTCTGAGTTACAGCCCAGAACCCAGGGCAGGACCAGTCTGGCTTCCTGGGCGGGCTGGAACCTGTCCCCAGGACTTATGAGAGCTGTTCCATGCCCTGCTGTGCTTGCACTGTCCACTGGGATCGGCTGCTGAGGCCAGCAGGTGGCCGGCATGCTGTGTAGACCGAGCACTAAGTCCCAGGATGCCCTCTGCAGGGCACGCAGCCCTCTGGGAGACTGTCCCACTCTGAGTCCCGGGTTGCTGTCTTTAGGACACACATGGCCCTCTACCCATGCTGCCCCCGGGACCCCAGGAGACCACCACAGGCATCCCCGGGGGCGGGGGGGTTGGAGTCCCTCAAGCAGTTCCGGCTTGGGCCAGACCCGCACACACAGTGTCTCCAGATGAACAAACCACTGGTCTGTGGAGAGGGGAAAATGGACGGGATTTGTTTTTAATTAGTCCTTGCGCTCATTGCCTCCAAGTTCTCAGGAGGGAGGGGGCTCATGACATTCCACACAGGGGTCACTGTTGAGACACAAGTTCCTCTGGAAACCTAACAAGGGGGGGCGGAGAGGGTCTGCCTGGGGCACCCAAGGAGCAGGAGTCACCCGCTGCAGGGACCACTCAGCCCCACCTGCTTCCTGGACACCAATAGGTACTCGGACCCTGGAAGAACCCCTAAGGTAGGACTGTTGGATGGGGGGTAGTGGGCAAGGTGAGTCCAGGGACACCCACGAGTCCCAGCCTTGGGAAGCTGCAGGTGGGGTGCAATGCTGTCAGCTGCAGGCCGGGGAGCCCAGGCATTTGCTTCAGGATACTCTGGGGCGTCTGCAGGATGCCGTGGCTGAGGGTGACAGAGTCAGCAGCCTGTCCTCCCCAGATGGTGTTGCTGACTGCCGAAGACCCTGACAGAGCTGGAGGCAGAGTGAGGACACCCTGATCGCCCTGAGCTGGACCCTGGGACTCACATGGTCCTCGGAGCAGATCTCAGACCCCTGTCCTCCAGGTCTCCCACTGTCAGCCCTGAACCGCTCCGCCCCCATAACCAATGAGTCATTGCTTATATTCTTCTTCCTCCCCCGTCCCTCTCTGCCTCTCTCTCTCTCTCTCTCTCTCTCTCTCTCTACATATATCCACATATATATAGATATACACAGATGACCATATGTGTACATATTTTATGTATTTAGATCAATCAGTTGATTGATCAGATAGATCATTCTGTGTGTAGACAGATGATAGATATGTAGACATCTGGTAGATAATCTCAACCTCCCCTTGGTGGACAGCAATGAATGTCTGCCTGCCTAAAGGGAGTGACCTCTCAGATTCAAGGGCCCTGGAGGTCACCTATGTCCTCTGTCTCTTGGTATTCTGGCTGGAACTCAGGGGCCGGCAGCAATCTAGCTGCCTGCATGGTCTCCTAGCCCAGGTGTTCAAGTCACCATCTGGGGCACCCACTGGGTGCTTCTCCAGCAAGCCAGGGCTGGAGGGAAATAGAGAGGAATGAACTTGAGTTAATTCTATGGAGTCACAAGGGAAAGTGGATTTTATACGTGGATTTTTATCCATGGATGTTATATGATCACGACTTCTCATAAAAAATGGAAAAGGACAGAAATATGTAGAGAATGTACTGCCTCATATCCCAACCAATTAAAATATATTATGCAATGGATTGTATACACTGGATTACTGTACACTGTGTTTCTCCTGTGCTCCTATAGGTCCATTATGGACAAATCTGCAAAGATGCCATTCTGGAAAACTCTATTCTGTCTCTCAGGCTGCTGTCCCCCAGTCACGTCACTTGGAAATACAGGCCACGCAGGGAGAAGGCAGGGTGGCACGTCCCCACACCTGCAGGTCTACATGAACTCATCCATTAGCAAGTAACTTGATTTTGATTTCTAATTGCTCCAGTAATCTACACTTTTACATTGTCCTAATGGATGTTTACTTTGGTGATTTATAACAGGTTATGCTTTCTTTTCCATGCAAACACACAAGTGTAAACATTTTCCAACTCCTTTGTTCTTTTGATAAAGAGGAAACTGATCTTTAACTGGTTACCATGTTGCCTTTTACACTGAAAATGCTGTTGGGGTGAGTGGGGGTGATGTTTCCAATGCTTCTGTCATTTCCTTCTTTATTGTGGGAAGGTTCTAGAATGGCCCTGTCTTGCTGCTCTCTGGTTTACTGACCCTCAGAATCGTGTGAAGCAAACATTCAGAAAACAATCTCTCAAGTTTTTTAATGTCCCAGAGCAGTATCTACACAGCTCAGCAGAATTTTCACTGTCTTTGGTCCTAATTTTCCCAGAATATCCTGTGACATATGTCCTCTGCCCCAAAGGCAGCGGGTGGTTGGGGGGTAGCAGAGAGTCAGCAGAGCTCCTTCCTTTTGGGGAGTTATTCACCCTTTTCCTGATCCAGAGTTCCTCACTATAGGTGAATCCAGCTGGGCACCTGGTCTGCAGTGGCCACTGTCCACCCTCCCTTGGGCATCCCAGAGACCAGTTTGCATACCTCCAGGACCACATGTTGCCTGGGGAGGAGAGTAGCCACTGCAGTGACCTGGGCAAAACCAGCAATAAGAGGAAAGGTTTCACTGTGATGGGGCTTGGTGCCCAACTCTGAAGGAGAGGGAGCGAGCCAGGGCACCTGAACTGGCAGAGATGTTCCCGGGCTCCTGGGCACAAATTCAGGGACCCCTCATTCAGCAGGCTCTTTGAGAGAAGGGGAAAGGGCTTCCGATCGCAACAGCAGGAAGATCAGCACTTGCCATTTGTGGCTACCATGCCGAGGCGTCTGGTGGGGGTGGGGGTGTGACCAAAACCGACACAAAAAAAGGTTTCCCCCAGGAAGGTGGCACAAGACGAGAAGTCTCAGCGACAGCTTCACTACCTTATTCTTCCTTATTCTCCACCTTCCCAAAGAAAGGGATTTCTCCCCAATGACGCCGAGGTGTGTGGATGGGCCCAGGGGTTCTCTGGGAATTCACATCACATCCCTGACAAGATCACCGCTGTTTGTTCCACCGGGGAGAGGAGAATGGCACAGAGGAAAAAGACGAGCAAGCGGGGTGTTCTGCTGAGGAAAAGAACACAACGTTCCCAGCGGAGTTCAGGACTTCTCTGGGAGGCGCAGCGAGGCGCCCCCACTGCTGCTCAGCCCCCGTGAGCAGCTGGAGGAGGAACATCGTGAGAGTGTGTGTGTGCGGGGGGGGAGGGGGTGCCAAGGGGCTGCAGCAGGCCCAGCCCCCCTGTGTGGAGGCACAGAGAGCGGGCTGTGGAGGAAGAGTTGCTGAGGAGGAAGAGGGTGTGAGCAGGGTGTGGGGGAGGATGTGACTCTGCTGACTGGCTGGGAAACGCCCTTCGTCCTGCAGGGGACACGCTCGAGGACTCCAGAAGAGACGGCAGCAGGCTGCCCACCGCGTGCCCACCCATCCTCCAGGCTGCTCTTGGGTCCGGGAATATTTGCGGGTGCCCGGTGGGGGACTCCTCCTCTTGAACCACACACTCCTCACTGGTGCCCCTACGCACTAAACATCCTGCATAACCCTGAGCTTTATTGATTCCTTGGGAAATAGACCACAATTATTTTTGAAAATAGATGGCATATTTGTCTATCCTCTGAAGCAGCTCATGCGCCGATAGATAAAGTGTCAGGAGGAAAAAAATCAAAGAAAATGGAGGTGTCCATATCTCACATAGATTTTTCTTTGTATTGGCAACGGACAAACAACTAGCAGAGATGCTGAAAAGCAGCGTGAGGGAGAGAGACAAGGCTGGGAGACCAGGGGAAGCCCTTGCCCAAAGTGGCCGGGGGCGACCCGAGAAGCTCAGTAGCCACGCCTTGGGCTTGATGCGGAGGGCACGTCAATTCTTCTCTGGAAGGGATTCAAGGCCAATTTCACAGCATGTGAGGGGAGGCTGCTGCCTGTCCAGCCTAGGAAAGGTCAGAGGGACCCCACCAGCCCCAAAGCCACTTCTCCTTGCATGAGGGAGCCACTGAGTTCCCTGTGCAACACGAGAGCCAGCGCGGGGTTCCCCACACTCCTGGCCCCCTTGACTCCAGAGACTCCCAGTCCCCCTCAGAGTGACTTCTCCACTCCAGGAGGAAGTGCTCACTGGATTTCTGGTGCCTCAGAGAAAGAGAGAACAGCAACCTCAAAAGCCAGGGCCTCAGAAGAGCTAGGTCATTGGGAGGGTGGCCATGAGGAAGACGTGTGTGTGTGTGTGTGTGTGTGTGTGTGTGTGTGTGTGTGTGTGTGTGTCACAGTGCACGGAAGACAGGCCCCTAGAGAACCTGAGAGTGTCCAGTGTCGGGGACAGGACGGGCCTGAGGGCGGGCCTGCGGGCCTCCCCGCGCTGGGCACTGCGCCCCCGATGGCTCACCTGTGTGTATCCTCAGGTGAACCTTTAGGTGATGGGATGTCCGGAAGGTTTTCCCACAGTAGGGGCAGTCCTTCATGGCCGAGCCCAGGCTCCTGTCGCGAAGCAGCGCGGGCTGCTGGACGCCGGCAGCTCTCCCAGCCTCCTCGCCAATGTCTGCAGCGGAGGAGAAACGTTCTCACATCACTTCAGCACATGTCAGGAGTTGTTCGCACCAAAACTGCTAACACCACATAAAGTTAAACATGTCAATACTACACCTGTCTGTTTCATTCTTTCAATCTGACAGAATGCTGACAATTCATGTATTTTCTTGTTATTCTCTTAAATTATTTCATCTTTCCTATCATCATTTTAAGCAGCATATGGTACCTTTATATTGAACTGAATTAAACAAGAAAAGAAACAGCTGTGTCAGCAGCTGGTTTGATTTCTTCTTTTGCTTAGCTCCTATTAAATAATTTTTTTCAAAAGTTTAAAAATGTTGGTGTTTGTGGAATCTGATTAATTTATAATATGGACGAGCTGGAAGTTTGCTCTAGGATCGAAATCCCATTTGCATTATATCAAGAAACAAATGAAAAAAAAAATGTGTCTCGGCTGAGTCCCTAAGACATGCCGACACACAGCTATTTTGGGACAGGAAAGAAAATTATCCCAAACTGATCATTTCTTCCTTGTGAGTCTCATATCCATTGCTGGCTCTCATGAAAGAGAGAAGGAAACGTATGGAAATGCAGTTCCACAATTAGCCCATGATAAACATATAGTGACATATTCAAAGTCATGTGCAGAAACTCAGCTGCAAAACTCCCATAAACTTGGAGCACTGCACTTAAATCTCTGTGCAGCGACTTGAGAACTCCCTCTGTAAAGTATCAATACAAATTTCCCTTCCTGCTGTTATTTGTCATGTAACCCAAACCATTAGAAAATGGAATAAAATTTACATATGTCTTCCTTCTGCCCAGAAATGATGGGACATAATAGTAAATAAAACGAAAAATATCTAGTGGTTGGAGGATGTGTCACTGCAACACCCAAGGCCTGACATCACAGTGCCAGTGAGGCGACATCAGGAAGCAGGGCAGAAATGAGGAATGAGCCTCTCAGAGCAGCAGGGCACGAAAGCCTTCTCCTCTGCCTGCCTCCTGGTCCTCCCCATGGGGCTAACGCCTGGCCCCCTTGGCACAGACCCAGGCTTCTGAGGCAGTGCATGAAGACAGGCCCCTGGAGAACCTGGTGGATCCTCACTGCCACTTCCGACCCACCCTCTCCACTGCTCAGTAGATCCACAATGAGAACAAGGGGACATCTGGGACAAAAAGCAGACCTGTGAGTTCTGCAGAGAGTGGCGTCGCCAAGATCTGTCCCTTCCAAGCTCTCGAAAATGTGAATTGCTTTTTATTCTGTAACATGCTTCCCTGATATTCTCTGCTCACTGTCAAAGGGGACAGACTTACATGCCACAAACAAGATAAAGCCAAATGCATATGACTCTGACTCTGAGCTCTGCATTTGGTCTACACGGGGCACTATCAATACCTGAGAAAAATTCTTTAAGTAAGGCTCACTTTGGCAGGGGGCATACCTGGGGGGGGGGGGGGGGGAACGTGTAGAGCCAGCAATCAAACTTGGGGCTCCTGCATACAAAGCATGTGTGGCTGTCCTTTGAGCCCTCTTCTGAGCCTAAAGGCTCACCTTTTATCTCTTTTCTCACAATAGTCTAAGTTTCCTGGGAGAGCTGTTCCGAGGGCCTAACTAACTGCCCGCATGTTCTTTCTCATCATTTTACACAGGTAGGAGAGGGCTGGTTTCACCCCATCCATCAGCCTCATCTCCTCCAGCACCGGGACTTCGGAGTAGTCACCCATATATCAGTGAAAAGCTACCAAAGAAGGCTATTGGTCAGGGTCAAGGGGCACCAGAACACATTTCAATGTGCCAACAAAATGCCAGCCCCCAAAAGCAGCCACAGTGGGGTGCTCCACCATGGAAAGAAGGTTAAGACCACCAGAATTTCCCCCAAGTTCTGTCTTTACAACCAGACAGCTGACAGCCCAGAACAATGAGCAGATGTCAGTTCCAAAGAAACCACATCCTAGGCTTCAACAGCTGGAACGCCACCCCTCCCGCCACCTACCCCTCTCCCCACCTCCCTACCCTCCACCCAAACATGCCTTGTTTGCCACCCAGTACAGCTCGGTGGGTTCTTGAGGTCAGCTCAGATGACCTCACGATCATCTAACAACAATGAGCCTGATTAAAATTCTGCCCAAGTGTTCCTGCAACCAAGTTAAGACACCCTCCTTAACTGCGAGGGCCAGGAGCCATCCATCTGAATTACAAGCAGAGTTAAGTGGCCAAGATGTTGGTGGCAGGACAGAGGCGGGCCAGCTAACTTAGAAGTGAAATGCTCAGACCCTTCTCTCTAGCTCTGCATGCCTCTGCTCCGGGCGCTCGCCAGAGCCCTTATTGAGCAGAGCAGGGCAAGGCTGTCTGAGAGTGGGGAGAGGAGAGGGTGGGGCCACTTCCCTGCCTGAACTCTGCAAGTTCTTGCCCAGGGCCTGTGGTAGATAAACAGATAAAGGCTGCCCTGCACGGCCCTGCAGAAGCTGGGATGAGCTGAGCCTTCTCCATGCCAGTCTGCGACGGCCTGGATCTGTTTTCTTTTTATCTTTCTATCTTGGCTATGTGTGGCCCAATAAAAAAAGAATAAATTTGTAAGATAAACAGCTTTCTTTGAGATTTAAGAGTCCAATTTTCACTTTATACAGAAATGGGATTTTGGGGAGGGCCAGAGGCCTATGGCGTTTACTCTTAGACTAATCCAACTAAAAAAACAAACTGCTGCACTCTGAAGGGGAATTGTGGGTGGTCCCAGGAAGTGTCTGCAGAAAAAAGCCAAGCACCAGGCAGGCTGAGGAAGCCCAAGTGAGGCACACGCACACACACGCTCACACATGCACATGTGTGCACACACACACACACACACTCACACACACACGCACACACACAAACAGGTCCAGGGGTATTCCCTGGTCTTCACAGGCGGCGGGGAACAAAGGGTCTCCACTTAGCCTCATCATACCCAACATCCCGAAGACTCGGTCAGAAGGAGTCAACTGTCCTGGGCTTTCCTTGGAATCCAGCCCTAAGAGGCTCCTGTTCAGCTCCCTGGGAGGAGAACCGAGTGAGGCTCCGCCTGACCCCACCAGGCATTCCCATGAAACAAGTGCTGGTCCAGGGCGCTGCCAGGTGGGGCCTTCCCATGCCAGTCCAGACGCAGTAGCAGGAAGGAGAGGAATGGAAGCATCAGAATGACCTCTCTGATCTTGGGTCGGAATGGATTATTTGTGCATCAGATACCCACATATCTGATTTCTTTTAAAACACACAGTATTTCTCCTTTTGCCATGTGCTAGGTATGGACAAAGGTCAGGCTCAAAGCTGCCATCTCCAAGAACAAACCCCACATATATGGTCAGATAATTTTTGACAAATGAGCCAAGAGCATGAAATGAAACTTAAGACAGCTCCTTCAATACATGATGCTGGGGGAAACTGGATAATTCCATGTGAAAAAAAAAATAGAGCTGGATCAGTCCCTCACACCTTATACAAAGGTCAATTCAAAATGAATCTGGTCTTGAAAGCAGACCAGAATTGGTAAAGTGTAGTGAGGAAAATAGAGGCAGAACACTCCAACACCTGGACCTCAATGGTATTCAATGATACTATGCCACTGGCAATGAATAATAGAATAAGCAAAAGGGACTACATGAAGTTAAATTTTCTGCATGGCAAAGGAAAGATTAGTTAAAACTAAAAGACAGTTAACTTAATGGAAGAAGATATTTGCGTTGAACATACCAGATAAAGGGTTGATATTCAGGATATATATATACATATATATATATAGTACTCAACAAAGATCAACAATAAAAAAATCAAAAGAAACTAGAGAAAGTGAGAGAAGAAAAAGAAGAAGAAGAAGAAGAAGAAGAAGAAGAAGAAGAAGAAGAAGAAGAAGAAGAAGAAGAAGAGGAGGAGGAGGAGGAGGAGGAGGGGGAGGGGGCAGGGGGGAGGGGGGAGAGGGGGAGGGGAAAGAGAAGAAAAATGCTTGCCATAGAGTAGGGTGTAGGGAGAAGTAAACTTGGGACATTGGTAGTAGGAAATGTACACCAGTGAAGGGACAGGTATTGGAACATTATATGACTGAAACCCAATCATGAACAACTTTTTAATTGTGTAGTTCACGGTAATTCTATTAAAATAAATAAATAAATAAAACTCCATAAAAATGGGAAGAGCAAATGAATAGAGACTTCCCTGAGGAAGACCAATGGATGGCCAACAGGCACATGACAAAATGTTCACCATCACTTATTGGGAAATCCAAATCAAGACAACAATGAGATATCATCTTACACTAGTGAAAATGTCACATATCAAAAATACTGGGAACAATCTGTGTTGGCAGGGATGTGGTGTAAGAGGAACTCTTATTTATTGCTGATGAGAATGTTATCTGGTCCAATCTTTATGAAAAAATTGTATGTAGATATATCTCTGTAAATTAAAAATCAGTCTGCCACATGATATAGCAATTTCACTTCTGGATATCTACCCCAGGGCACACACACAAAAATGGATTTAAAAAAGACATATGTCCGCCATTATTTATTGCAGCACTTAATACAGAAGGTAAGATATAGAATCAACCTAGATGTTCAAAGATGAATAAGTGGATCATAAAAATGTGGTATATATACACAATGGAATACTATGCAGCTGTAAGGAAAGATGAAATCCTGCAATTTGCTGCAGCATGGATGAAACTGGAAGATATCGTGTTAAATAAAGCAGAAGAAGGACAAACACAGGATAATCTCACATATATGTGGTATATAGAATAATTGAACAAGAAAATGCAATGTTTGAAAGAAGGATGCAGAGATCACCCTTGGCTACAGACTATAGAGCAGTTAAAGAAATCTTAGGCAGGGTTAGAGAAGATAGGCAGGAAGTGACAGTGGGCAGCGGTCATGAGGACATTGGTGGTGTAAAGAGTGGCATATAATAATCCAAACCACAGAATCAAAGACACTGAAAACAAGAGATGCAAACTTCAGCAACCAAATGTAGAAAGGTGC